GAGAAGAATCCTGTGGTGGTGGTGGTGGTGGTGATGGTGGTGGTGGTAGCGGTGGTTGTGGGGTGTACCATCGAGTCAGAACCAACCCAGAGCTGACCCTTCCATGGATTTTCAGAGGCAGTTAATTGTACAGGAGGACATTGCCCATCCTTCTCCCGCAAATAATCCTAGTCCTTTAGTGACATTTTTCATGGACCTAAGAATGTCTGTGATGTCCATGACCATCTCTGAAGACGGCCTCATACAATAATGAGAGCATTCTTCTATTTATCTCTTATTACCTCTCTCTCTCTCTCACACACACACACACACACATATGCATCTTGAAGGCATTCCATCTAGTCCTGAGAATTTAATTATTTGTGGTTTGTTTACTAAGTTAAAAACATTCTGTTCATTAACTATTAGTTGAGACGTAGGTTTAAAGGGCAATTTTTCAAGGAGAAAGGTCTACGAACTGTCTAATGTTGTTGTTGCATACCATCAAGTCAAGCATGACTTATACTGACCCCCTATGAACAACAGATCTGAATCCTGTCCTGTCCTGTACCGTCTTCACCATTTCTAATACACTTGAGCCCATTGCTGCAGTCACCATGTCCATCCATATTGAAGGGAGGGACAGCCCAATAGGGAGGCTAATTACTTAGGAGCATTTTAGAGACATTTTCTTTCTCATGAAGAGTTTATCAGTTAGAAAGTAGTACATCTCTCTTTTATACACCCATACCATTCTCCTAGAATAGTAATAGTTTTTTTTTTTTATTTGCCTTAGGCAACCAGGTTTAGGTTTTTTGAAGAACCTCAAGGTAAAATTCATTGGCTCAATCAGAATTCTTCTTTTGTATATCCAGAAAAAGAATATTTTAAACTTTCAATTAATTTACTTGTATTTATATTTCATTTTATTCTTAATTGAACCATGGTCAACACTCTTGGCACCAGTAGCCAGGAAATAAGAAAAAAAGTATTACAATGGGAAAGTCTGCAGTTAGGGACCTCTCCAGGGTATTGAAGAGCAATGGTGTCACTCTGGAGACTAAG